AGCTCTGGCCTTTGCAATGCGTGAGCTAACGTCAGTTTCTATGCGCCCATCATTGCTGATGCAGCTGCCAAGATAAATGAATTGATCAACCACATCGAGTTCCTCGTTAGCAAGCGTCAAGGGGTCATCGAGTGGCTGGTGGTCCTGCAACAACACTCTGCACTTTGAAGGTGCGAAGTGCATACCAAATAATGAAACCACTCTGGATAGGCTATTCAGGGTTGATTGTGCCGCCTCAACATTGTCGAAAAGCAAGACGATATCGTCCGCATAATCTAGATCAACTAACCTTTCACCAGGCAGCACTTCAACGTCTACATCGTGAGATTCCGCAAGGGAACACTCCATGATAGAATCCACGACGAAATTGAACAAAAACGGGGAAATCGGACAACCCCGTCGAACGCCACTTGTAGTCGAAAAGCTATCCGATAGGACACCATAGACCCTGACGGGGCCTGTAGTGTTCGAGTATAGAGCACGAAGGATGTTCACATATTTCGTGGGAACACCTTTCCGCGCAAGTATTTCGAACAGAATCGATCGATCAACTGAATCGAACGCACTCTTGAAATAGAGGAACACAACTATTGTCGGTCTGCGGTATGCGTGGCGCTGCTCTAGCACCTGCCGCAAAGTAAATATATGGTCTATACAGCCACGTCCTGGGCGAAAACCGGCCTGCTCTTCTCTAATCCGAGATTCGCGTTCTGCAGTGAGACGACGAACGATAATCGAGGCCAGTAATTTTGTCACAACTGGCGTTAGGCTAATACCCCTGTGGTTCGCACAGTCTGTGCGACTGCCCTTCTTATATATTGCCACTATAATCGATTCGCTCCAATTAGCCGGCACACTCTTCGTTCCAGATACGTTCGAATAGGGAGGTCAGTGGATTTTCGGGTTTTATTTGTAGCACCCGCCGTGTATCTTGGATTGCGACACGCAATCTCATTAGTGGCGGCGGTTGACTTGGAAGTCAGCCTCTGCCAAAATGGTCACTGGGACCGTCATCGAAGTGGAGGGTTTCGGTGTGGCTCTCTCCTATCCCTGCAGAGGACCTCACCACCATCCTTAAATAGTGCAGGTGGTAGGGAATCCGGGCCAGTGGCACGAAAACGATCAAGGGCTGTGATCGCGTTTCGGAACTCGGCCTCCGTTGGGGGCTCTAAACTAACCGTCCATGGCACGTCCTGCATCACCTGAGTAGGAAGAGGTCCGGGAGCAGGGGGCCAGCTGAACTGATCTTCAAAGTGCTCAGCCCAACGAGCCATACAGCGCTCCTTATTGTGTATCAGCGCACCCGCGCTGTCCCTGATTGTCTCACTGACGCCTGCTTTTCTCGGACCAGTGGTGCGGATTAGCTGGAAGAGCTTCCGGTAATTGCCTACTGCTCCTGCCTCCTCCATTTCTTGAGCCCGACTGGTCCACCAGGCTTCCTTGTCAGCACGTAGGCTCCGCTTTAGTTCACGCCTAATAGCCCGTCTGGTCACATTGTGTTCAGAACCAGCCGGAGGTGCCTTCTAGGTTCCAAAAGGTTCACGGACCTCTCGGATATCCAGTGACTGGTGCGATGACGACTGATAGTGCCACAAGCAGATGCTCCTGCGTCGCGCATAGTGGCCGAGATCTTATTCCACTGAAGTTCAGTATCACTAGGACAAGACAGCGAGAGTTCGCTATGCAGTGCTTCTTGATAGGCTTGCCTGACAGAGGGCTGGGACAATTTCTCCGTTGCCAATCGGGGGGAGACGCTTTGTGCGCCTTCCGGTAAAGTTCATGGAGAAACGACAGCGCACCAAGGCATGATCAGAGTCGACACAGGTACTCCAGTACGAGCGGCAATCCAGAATGGAACCGCGCCACCTGTAACTTATGGCTATGTGGTCAATTTGGGTCCATCGCTGACCAGCTACAGGTGGACGCCAAGTGGCACTTCGGCGCCCACTGTGTCTAAAAGCAGTGCTAGTAAGAAACAACTGCTGCTCCGCACACAGTTGCAGCGGACGCTCGCCGTTGTCAGTCCGATCGATGTGTCCTTCGGGACTGTCTACTGCCCGAAAAAAAACATGTAAACGTTATAAGAGCGTTGTGCACTCCTAGTTCGGGCAGAGTGAGGGTTTATGGCAAACTTTCTCTGCCCTCAATATCTCCAGCGGTGTGAAACAAGGTCCCCGCTGTCACATTTCCTCTTTAACTTCGCTATTGACAAAGTCATGGAAACGGTGTTCGCCAAGCATGACTTAGATGGTGTGGTGATGCTCCCAGGTGACCGACCTCTTGATTTGGAGTATGCCGACGACACTGCGCTGATCTGTGAGCTCCCGAACGTGACAAGGAGTAGTGGATATCAGTCGTTTCGTGTTATGCCTTGCACCGTCGAAATGCAAAGTTCTTCTCCAAGATTGGCAGAGACAAAGTACTGAGATGACAATTAGCGGTGATTAGCTAGAAATCGTTCAGAAATGCAAGTACCTGGGCAGTTATATTACCGCCCATGGGATTGAAAACGAGGTCACGAACCGTACAGCAAAAGTCCGAGGTGCTTTTGCCAATCACCGCTAACTGTGGCGCCGGTGTGACATCTCCCTCGCTTTGAAGAGCAGAGTTTACAATGCAGCCGTGCGTTCAACCCTCCGATTGTGAAACCTGGCCCATTAGATCAGTCGCCATAAAGAAGCTGGCTATGTTCGACCGTTGCCACATTCGAAGCTTAAATCATGTCTGGTAGGAACACCGCGTGAGCAATGAGCGTGTTCGGTATTGTGTATTTGGTGCAGGAAGAGCAAGTGAACCACTGAGCACCATTTTATCAAGCACCAGGCTCTGATGGCTGGGCCACGTGTTGCGCGTGCCAGCACGCCGACCCCCGCGACGTGCAATGTTTGCGCGCCGGGGTTATGGATAGAGTAAGAGGGGAGGTCAAGCGATGACTTGGTCAAGAGAAAGTTGGCGTCGGTTGGTTTTTCTCGACTGTTTGGCTGGGGTGCGAAAGATGATGAACACGTTTGGTTGGATATAGTAGCTGACATGGCGAGGAGCCGACCACAATGGCGTTTGTGTTGTGAGTCGCTTTATCCCTCCACTCCCCTTTAGCTCGCTCCTCCGACAGCGATATCAACCCAATGCATAATATGAGTTCAGCATTATGTTACTTTTATTGCTTTTGTAGTTTGCATTGTTTGCGTTCTTATGTTATTTGTCTTGCGGCACATTAGCTGAGGTGTGTTTTGCACCCTCAGTTAACATGTATGATGAAGAGTACAATCCACAATGCAACCATAAGTTCAACTCTACTGTACGGTTATGAAACCTGGCCCATCAAACCGACAGACGTAGAGGTCAGTTACGTTTGACCAGTGGTGACTTCAGTTTAGCTTATATCTGGCGAGAACAATGCATGAACTATGGGCGTGTTCGGCGTCGTGCTTATGTCACAGGAAAATCAAGTGGATCACGCAGCATGATTATTTCACGTATCAGGTTCCGATGGCTGGGCCATGTGTTCTGCATGTCAACAAACTGACTCCCGCGAGGTGTTGTTTGCGCTACCGGGGCAGACCAGCCGGTGATTCGGCGACAGAAGGAATGTAGGCCTTCATTCAAAAGTGGACCTCATTTGGATTCTCCCGACTCCCTAATTGAGGTCCAAAAGACAGTGAACACGTTTAGCTTAAACGCTTGTAGACATGGCAAAGAGACGACGTCAATGACGTCCATCTCACAAGTGATGCGTCACAATGTCATTTGTTTCTGTTTTCGCTTCAGTCTCTTCCTTCTAAGACTACGTAGCTGTATTGTATTGCGGTACAATAGCTTAGGCACATCTCATCTTCAACCAACATGTATGATGATAATAATAATAATAATAATAATAATCATGACAGCAATTTACTCGAGGCACTTTTAATCGGTCACGAAAGACGAGTGAAACAACCAAATAGACGTTGAGGAAGTCTGTTGCGTATGGTCAATGCCGTCAAATAATGAATAAAAGTTCATTATACTCGAGCTGAGGGAGGCACGCCTGTGTAGGCATGATCATGAAAAGTTGGCGCAGTACCCCTTCTAGTGATGTTAATTTTTATAAAGATGGAGTGGTTGTTGGCAGCGAAATCCATTGACTTTCGGTGGTAAGATAATTTAATAACTGTACTGACCAGAGCGCATGATTAAAATGCAAAAGATGTTGACTGCTTCCCAATGACAAGATGCTATTTTGTAAGAAAGCAAGTTTAAGTGTATTGCTTTGAAGGCTAAGATCTCTAAAACCTACATACCTCTCTTACTTAATGAGTATTACGTAGTCTGAGAGTAACGATGACAACTTCTCATTGCAAACGCCAGTTTAAACAATCGATGCAAATATCAATAGGAAACAATGGTACGGACTCGACACACAGGGCAGAGATGTGTGTGTGTGAAGGCATATTGTCATCGATTTTCTAGCGACATGCTAATACGGCTTTCCAACGGATGAGCTAATGAGTTCACTGATGTGACGAAGAAACACTTTAAACCAGCAACTGACGAGTAAGAAAACAAGGCTTAGTATTCGCGCGCAGCTCCAGTTCATCTCATAGAAAACAACAGAATCAAAGTTGTACCATGACGACGAAAAACTGCCAGTCAAGAGCCTAAGTTTATTGAGTTGTCGCGCCCCGTCTCATAGCGTCTTCATATTGTTCTAGATCTACTGATGGACTTCGGCTCATGTGATACATTTAGTTATTTATTGGCACCAAATCAAAGAATCGCAACGAATCAGCGCATATACCTTCCAGCAACAACAAGTAAAAACGATGAGTCTTGGTTCCGGAAGACGACTGATTGACTAAAATGATATGCCAGAACCATTGAGAAACAAGAACCATTACGATTACATACGCCTATGAGAATACCGGCCAAATATGGGAGGCGATAAGATCTAAGCTTTTACACCCAATGCTCCAGCACAGCACAGCGAAAGCAGTTGAAGGTTCTAACAAATGGTTACGAACTTGTTTATGCCTCTCGGCAGGTATCCGACTGTCCTTAACTGTGGTGCGCAACAAAGATTCAGGTTTCTCGGAAATTTTCTCGGAAATATATTGGAACACCTTGAGTACACTGTCAATGGTACCGATGATCAGACATACGCGTTCCGTTGTACCTAGAAAAGCAGTGGAATTCGGAGCGGTTGATACGACTTACCTGGGTAAAAATCGTTTGCTTTGGACATTTTAACCTTTGCAGAAGTTTTGTTCTGTATCTCTGTGATGGCTTCACCGCCTTTTCCAATAATAGCCCCCGCAGCTATAGAAGGCACAAGGATTTTGAAGTGCACGTTGCCTGGACAAAAAGGGGGCAAAAAGAACGATGTTAGGATGCAAAAGAGATGTGAGAAAGCACCACATGTGACAACAGCGGCGGGGCTTCATAATAACGACCAAGAGCTTAATCAAATTGTGCAGAGGAAGCTCGTCTTATGTCCGTTTAGAAACATTACTCATGGAGACCACTTCAAAACAAGACAAGGCTTAGACAACAATGAGTAGTTCAAAGAATGCAAGCCCAGGGATTACCAAGAAGATCAAACTGATGTCGAAATGAGACGGCTTACGGCAATCTTCGGAGGAGCCATTACGAGCTAAACACCATAGCCAGTGACACTAAGCACAAGGCCGACAGATAATAAATTTATCCAGACAGAAGAAACTGAGTTTCAGACTAATACGGGAGAACGAGAAACGAATCCACGAAAAGTGGCATAGGGAACCCACCGGGAGTGTGAAGAAGGAGTAGTATCGAATAACAGCATCACAAGTGGGAGCGCGTCCACCGACCATAAAACGGAGTGGGAGAAAAGAAAATGAAAGTGGAGATCATGGGACCGCAGGCACTACGAGACGACTTCTGCAGTAAAATGATGGCAAACGAAATGTAGCTGCGCCTAAAGATAGTGATAAGTGATGTGCCTTGTACCACCTGACGTTCTGATTGCGCGCATAAAATTTGGCGTAATTCCGAATGAATGGGTTTGGAAGGCATTTGATTGGAACATAAGTTCCCTCGGAGTCACTCCACATTGCAAAGATTGTCGTTCCTGAACAAATGAATCCAAATGACAGCACGGTCGAGTAAGGACAACGTCAAGCAAAAGCGAATGGGGGTTGGAATGACACCTGTGCGGGCGGAGAAAAAAGCACACTACGCACACGGAAAGTAGCGGATACGTCATGACCATCTGCGCGATGTGACCCTTCAGCCGCGACGATGGTGTACCATGCTACTAGAAGTCACGATCGATAACCCTTAGAAGACGGTAACAGAGGCGGCATCAGATGTACAGACATGATGCATCGAGAGCAGCCAATATCTACGTTACGAAAAGAGGTAGATTCAGAAAGGTAGCCGGCGTTAACAGGTTCCGATAAAGCCAGACTCTAGTAACGGGATACGACAAGTATGGAGGAGCGAATCATGAATTAGGGACACCAGAACAATTAACCTACGGGGGTGCTTGGCATCCGCAGATTGCGGAATGAGGAATGTCTTCATCGTGGAGGTAACTGTGAATACGTCCCTATATCCATTCAATATCATGAAATGTTTGGAACCGACCTGGAGGTCATCATTTCAGAAGGCTTGGTGAACGACTAGCTAATGTATTCGTTGGGTGCACGATGTTTCACTTTTGACACAAAAGCTTCAGGCAAGCTTCGCAAGCGAGATGAATGAGCAGTCGCAGACAGCCAGCTGTACCGTCTTAGAGTATGGGAGGCTGTGGGCCTGGTCACTTGGTTCCTCACTCAATACCACAACAGCTGTGTCAAAATCAATGTGAACGACTGTAGAGTCACTGATCACTCACTTCTGCAGCCAGAAAGGAGTAGCCAGCAAAGGGCGGATGGACAACTGCGATGGGCACCGGCCTGTGTGTGGGTTTCCAACTGAACACTAAGAAGGCGCATGATCCACCTGGTCGTCAACGGTCTTCGCATTCGGCGACGGGTTGGATGTCCCAGGAAAGATTTTCCGGCTTTTGTGCTGCTACACACGGGCATTCAGCTGCCGAGTAATTCGCCACTACCCAAACGCTATGGGACCCGGAACTTGATAACCGGCTCCAGATGTTTTGTGCAATAGGTTAATCGTCCGTTGTTTGCGGCTTGGGCAACAGGGAAGTTGTAAGCACACGCAACGCATATGGACAAATGAACCTACGAAGTCCTGATCTCCGTCTTCGCCTCTTCCGGCCCAGGTGCTGGTGGTCCGCTCTGCAAAGCCATGATCTGCTGCATCACTACTACATGTTTTGTGACAGCCTTGCTGAACCAACGCATTTTTGGTGAGCACCCTTCAATCCTGACCCACCAACAAAGCAAGGTCTCAAGCGGCAGTTTTAACCGTGCCAATGAGCAGTGCACGACCATGTGTGCCACGCAGTCGTGAGTACAGGACCTTCCTAGCTCCTGTTCTCAATTCAAGTTGGCCACATTCATGAAGATAGGATCGCAATCAGCGCTTGCTCACACTCAGAAATATCTCAAGATCGATAACTGTTGCCACTCTGAAACTTGCCTACAGGACTCCAGAACAAACCAACTGAAATCACCTTATGCGTGCTCCCACTGTATCTTTGCATTACGCATATTCGGAGATTCAACTGGCGAAGCCACAGGCCATACGGTGAAGAAGCAGCGCCACTTGATTGGAATCCAACCAAAAGCAAACTGTGTGCAATAATACTGAAAAGCCTTGTACGATCAGTCAATTGCAAGGCTAGCAAATGTTGTTTGTTTATCGTGACGGCATTTGCACACAGGGATTGCAGCTGGAACTCAGCTAATGAGGAATTCTACTACTAACTCTGCGATTTTCTCCATAGGAAGCGCCGCGCCCCGTGATGCTCTCCGGGGACTTAGAAACATAGGTTAGTAGACTTGAATCGGATTAGCGCGAACTCGGTGGCCCACATGGTCATGGTACACGCAGGGCAGATAACAACGAGCGCCTTTTACAGCTTTGTGCTGATCACGGCTTATTTTTTTCGAGTGCAGGTGACGGTACCTCGGCAACGCCGTGGGACAGTGCTTCGCTATCCGTTTAGACTGACGTCTAGTTGTGTGTCCGATGTACCTCACACCACAAATGCAAGGAAGTTGATATAGAATGTAAGATTCGGACTGGACCGGGAGTCAGTCATGGAGACGTTGGGAAACCAACGGCGCGGTTTCGGCAATGACGTGTGGATAGGCAGCTGGGAAGGTTTGAGTTACTGTAGTGGAAACTATTTTGTTCAGCAAATTAAATGTAATATCACTTATATGGAACTGAGAGAAATACAGCATTCTTTGGAGAAGTTGCAATCACCTTACGACGATCGTGAGCCACCGAGTGCTTTCGGATGAACGGAGCTGGGTAACCGTTTTCTTGCAGCGTTTGGAGCATACAGTTCTTTTCAGCTTCCAATGTCTCCGGGCTGCAAATTTTGGCAGCGCGAAGTATAAGCAACGAAGTCCGTTTGTAATTCAAAGGTATAATACTGAGAAAATACGTGGATTGACCGACCCACGTCGCACTCAGAAACACACTTCTTTCTAGCGTACCATCGTCCTTTCTCCTTAGTAAAACGTCCAAAAAGGCCAGTTTACCATCATCTTCAATTTCAATGGTAAACTTCAACAATGGATATACACTGTTTAACTGGTTCAACAGACTGGAAACATCAATGCCTATCACATATGATAAATGTGTCATCTATATATCGATAATAGAAATCAAATGAAGAGGAGCTAGGTTTTATAAATCCATGTTTAAGAATAGCGAGGAACAGCAAGAAACGGTCCCAGGGGAGAGCCCATCACGACTCCGTCGAGATGTCTGTAGTAGATCCCATCAAACAGAGTGTCTATTGAACGTGCATCGTAAGATTAATTTCAGCGGTTTTTGCACTGGAATGCCCACATCTATGCTTTTTGCTTAAGTAATCACAAATAGAATTAACCGCCTTTATCAACGGAACGGTCGTAAAAGGTGAATAGATGTCGAAGAAGATTTACCATTTAATTTCATGTATTCGACTTGTGTCATAAAATCGAATGTATCTTTCACAGTGTAAGTGCAGAACTCGCTGCGTACTAGTTCAACCAAATCCACAAGCCATTTCGCAACGGAGCGAATATCAGTGGTTGATATGCCAATTATCGGACATAGAGGAACCTGTGGTTTGTGCATATTAGGTTGCCTGTAAAGTTGGGGAGGATCTGATCCAACTGAGTAAACCGTTCCAGTAGTGCACCATATATCAGGTTCATGCGGTGATCTTGCGCTCATCCTGTGCGGTCTTATCTGTCTGCACCGTCTCAAGTAAGAATTGCCACAAGTTCTGCAAAATGGAGTGCATCTTGGAGACGTAGTCAGATTTATCCATCAGTAGCCATCCTGATTCTGTGTTATGTCTGGAAATTATCACATATAGATCTGGTCGCAATTTCTTGATGGTATCACGGTGTTTTGTAGTCAGGAGACTCGAGGATTTAGATTTGTAGCTCAGACGTTAATGCGCAAGATGAACCAGAGTGGTTCTGAATGTATCCTTGGAAAACGAAGAAGCAGGCGTCAGCTCGCTTAATTGTGGCATCAGATATATAAACTGGGTTTCTAGGTGGACTTCTCCACAACTAGGGTGAGAAAAGCAAACGCTAGGTCCAAGTGCCAATGCCTCTAGTTGCAACTGATTCAGCTGTAAACTGGATAGATGGTGCACAGATCTTTCAGATACGTCGGGAAGTTAGGTTTCGGCGGAGTTAGTTCTAAGCTTTTAAGCAGTTTAGCATACTTCTTTGCTTCCATTTTCGCACACATTCATTGTAGATATTGATTAAAAGCGATACGCTGCGTTTTTTAGCCAAATTGCCGAAGTTAGCATGTAAAAGTAGGGAGTGTGCCGAGATGCTCATAGGGTAGGGCTGTCAGGTTGCGATTGCGGTGGCACTGTTGGCGCGGTCTACCTCGTAGTAACACTACTTTAGCGTTACCTTTAGCCACCTGCGAGCATTGAAGACAGCATATAAGGTTAGGTGGATCCCGTTTCCATCAGCCGCAGAGAGTCCAATTGCAGTTGAACATGGGATATATATATATATATATATATATATATATATATATATATATGTAATCATGAATATTGAATATTGTATTATAGAGCAAGTGGAAATGAATGCTGTACAACTCTTTCAAAATATGGCGAAAAACGTTATAAAAATTGTCAGCTGGGAATATCGTTATAGTTAAAATATCTGACACACGGTGTTGCAAGAATTACAAATGTGACATGTCACCGTAAG